ACACGAATGACAAGAGGATGACCACGGTGATCCCTTTGGCGGCACCTTTGCCGTACCGTACGCATTTCTCCTATGACAAACGGAAGAATGGAAGAATGCCTCGGAGACAAGTTGCATTTACAATAAAGCCGACGGACACCCGGTTTAAATTCCTGTCACCTCGTCGCGGGTGAACCGCGGACCAGACTTGGACGGGCCACGAAAAATCCTCGTCGATATTTCACGTCGACCCATTAAACAGCTACCACCACCGATCATCGAAGCCGTTGCCACGTCCCGTGCATCACGATGACACCTGGCCAATGACTAGCAACGATAATAATCACCTTACCACGGCTGCTCTCGAAATTTTTCGTGATGACGCCGCGTAGAGTGAACTTTCTTCTGAAATTCTTCGATAAATCAATTGTTTAAATTGTTTAAACTTGATGGTTAAGTTTAAATTAATAAAAGTGGAAGGTTTGTTTGGTTTTATTTGAAGAATGTGATAATCTTAATGTGTATCAATTTTAAAAAGGTTTTTATTAGAAAAATTGAGAAACGAGCGTATTTATTGATCGTTTAATGATTGATATTTAAAATTAATTTATTATATATATATATAGGTATGTGAAAAATTGTTGTTGATCAGAGATTTTAAAACTTGTTGGGCTATCTGAGAGGAGAGGGGATCAAGTTTTGACAAATGTGATGCGGCTCCTAGAAAGTGGAGGCACTTCAAAAGACCGCCGCTGGGAATACGGCAAGCAAATTGCACACTTCTGTCGCATCCTTGGACGTTTCTTTGGCACAAAGTGAAAAACCGCAGGAAAAGAGGAGTATTGTTCATTGCGTGGCAACGATTCGAGGCAGGTTCTACTGTCGAAAAGGCAAAACATGACTCCGTTGCCGTTCTTACAAAAAAAAAAAAAAAGAAAGAAAAAGAAGAAGAAGAATTCCCTCTTTTCTCAAATGACACAATGTCGGTACCTTTGTGGTTTTTCCACGTTTTCATAGATTCAAAGATTTATTGAGATAAAGCGAACACATATTTGAGAGAATTCACGATAAAAGTTTGTAAATTATAGTAACCTGTGTAATAAAAAATTGTTGATTTAATATAAAATATTATATGATATTAATCTTGCAATTTATTAACGTGCAATCATGCGTTTTATTCTTTCTGTGTATCGAATAACGCCCTAAAATTTTTCGTGTTTGACGTATCTTTTGCTCTTTTATATATAAAAAAATTTTTTAAAAATTCATTGATACGTATTCTTTTCATCCAAAGAAAATCATACAAGTTTTATATATCGTAAGAATTTTAATGCAATTTGTAATGAAAATGAGGATCACCTAATAATAGTTGTACAACTTTTTAAAATATTTCAGTATTATAATTATAAAAACGTAACTTTTGATTATATTGATAAATAAACTTAAAAACCTCGGCTCGAATGAACAACTTATTCAAAAATAATCTTACATTTTACATTACATTTTTCTCAGAACCACGCCAGAACAAAGCCAGGCCACGTAGCCAGAAGATCCATCGTTAACCAACAATTTCTAATCGCGTAAAAATTTCTTTTCTCCCAAACCCATCCCCAAAACATTTTCCTTCGAGCCAAACACAGAAGAGCGTTTAACAAAAATGTGTCTCCCATTCAACAACACTCTTCTTTATAATTTTTATATCCTCTTACATACACCGCTCATTGTTGCATCTCGATTCGCCAAATCATCCCCGTTTTTCGTGTTTACTCGGTCGAGAGAGCTCGTGCGTCCACAACTCTCTGCAATCTGCGTTGTTGTAAAAGACACAGCAGCAACAATATAAACAGGCTCACGAAATAAGCCAATAAGGGATGACCATCTCGAAATGATCGCTCGAGTTTGAACAGTTTCTCCCCTAAGTCGAGTCTCTCTCTCTCCCTCCATTGTCCCGCCGATTGTCCACCATTATCGTCCAATCGAGCGTCCACAACGCTCTATTGTATCCTCGATTTCTCTGTGCGAGGAGAGGCTCGTTTCGAACACGTTCGACGATTCCATCGTGAAAGGATGATATCGGTGGAAATTCAGGCGTTTTCGTTTCGTTTCAAACGTGGTGGTGGCTCGCGTGCTCTTTTCGCCGGCGAGAACGCCGGGGAAAATGGAAGAGGAGGAAGTCTGTTATGACAAGGAGCTGTTGCCTCCATTCGATGGAGATTACTATGATGTTTGGCTACCTGCGGATTTGTCTCGTCGAGCGGAATTAAACGGACGAGGAAAGGCTGTTCGAGTGTCTTGGAGGATCTTGAGGATCAGTTGATAGTGATACGATCGATTTATGAGGGAGGAATTGGAGGAATCTCGTGGAGATAGGGGAGAGATTTGTTATTTGATCAACTTTTCTTATTGTTCACGTTGTGCGTCGGTAAAAGAGAATCGAAGGCTCGATGTGGAAAAAAGAAATACATATTTCCTTGATTAATGCCTCTTTTTTCAATGCTAAGAGTTAAAAGAATGGATAAATTTCAAGAAATATTTACTATATAATTCTTAAATTAACCAATTATGAAAGTGTAATCCATTTAAAATTAAAATTCCATGGAATACGAAGCAAAAAATAAATTAATCATCCGTGAAAGTTTATCAATTGTTCGATGCTGAAAGTGGAACAAATCGATATAACGCGAGGCGAATATAATGATAATAAATTCCATGATCCGCAGGCCGGTGTGGCGATGAGTCCGATACCGAAAGCGAGCCGGGTATTCCTTTGAAACGAAAACAACGCAGAAGCAGGACAACGTTTACAGGAGAGCAACTGGAGCAACTGGAGACAGCGTTTCAACGTGCTCAGTATCCGGACGTCTACGCCAGGGAAGAGTTGGCCCAGAGGACAGGTCTCACGGAAGCAAGGATCCAAGTAATTAAAATATTTCGTTCCTCTTCCACACGATTAACAATAATCATAGATTTTCGAATCTTGTTTTCCTTTCCTTTCCTTTTTCATCCTATATGAAATGTCGAAGGCCTGAAAAAAAAAAGAGGACCATCGCTAAAAACTATCTTTGTACTCGTGAATGATGAAAACCTCGAACCTTTCTTTTCCTCGAAGTGGAAAAGGTTACGACGACAATTAAACAAGGATGAAGTGACAAGTGAATTGACACTGAAACACGAAACGTTTTTCGTTGTTCCAGGTATGGTTCAGCAATCGCAGAGCACGATTGCGAAAACACGCTGGAAGCATAGCTCATTCGGTGGCGAGCCTACCTCTAACACCCTGCCAATACGCCGCCAGTCACGAGCTCGCTCAATTACCTCAGGTACCTCAAATACCGTCTGGAATAGCGCAAATACCGACCACGTTGCACCACAGCCCGACCACGTTGCAACAAACGAGCGGCGGTGTTCACCAAGTGCCAGGAAGCAACGCGCAGATGTCGGCCACGACCTCAGCCGCCCAGGTGCCCTCCACGATCAGTAGCGCTCTTCAAGGGCACGCGGTGTCAATCTCAGGCCACCTGAGCTCGTTGCAGGGACACGCGATGCAGCTTGGACAGGTACCAACGATTCAACCTCCTGCCGCTCATGGGGCACCCACGACCCTTTCTCACAATCCAGGTGAGTTGCGTTCTTATTATTTGTATAAGATGTGGGTTAATTTATTATTTTTAGATAGGAAGAGTCAAACCTGAGTCCGATCTTTCTCTTCCAAATTAATTAATCCTTTTCATAGATATATTAGTTTTTGTCTCCTCTGTGTCGAGAAATTTATACAAACCAATATTTTTCTACGAAAACTTTTATCTTTTCTCTCGATCCTTTTAGACATCCTTTTAGATACACCATTTTTGAAATAGAATTTTTAAAGAAGAATTCATCGAATTGTAAACGAACTTCTTTCATCATCTTTGCTTCGAATGAAATGCTATCGACCTCAACCCCGACGACGACCTCAAACGAATCATCTCTGGTGATTCTCTCGTTTTCGAGGCGTGTTAATGTTGAACGCGGGCCGAATTTCGACCCAATTACAGGGAACACCGATTGGTCCAGGGCGCAACTCGGTTGGGGACAGTTCAATCACTTCCAAGGTGAATACACGTCGAGTCATTCGAGTCATCAGCATTCCTCGCACGCGAGTCATGCTGGTACACCGTCTTCTGGTACCGGGAATTCTGCATCGGCGGCGGAATGGTACGATCAGGGCTACGATTATTCCCAACACGCTCAGCTCAACTATCATCGAAGCGTGGGCGGCATATTTTAACGGGGCGATGATTGCACGGGCATTAGTAAAAGTCAGTCAGGGGTATCGGTCGATCCCCGTCTCGTTCGTTTCATGAATTCACTTACGGTTCCACCATCCTTCTCCGCCACTCATCTTTCGTAAGTTAGCCAGGTTCCAATTCTTTCGACAATTAATATCGTCTTTCGATCCCGTTTTCTTTGGAAGTGGAAGTGGAGTATCGTCGTGGTAACGGGAATGATAGGCAAGTGGATCGTGGATGTTTATGCAAATGTGAATTTTTATGTAAACGGAATTAAGAAAGAAGTGATAGGTTTCATCGTGTCGACGAAACATTTTGTGGAATTTTTTTCTTTTTTTTTTTTTTTTTTATTTCTTATATTTTAATGCGTAAACATTTTCGATGGTCTTCGATGGATGTAATTCGTGGATTTCCAATCGGTGAGTCAGACTAAGGAAAGTACCTAATTCTTGAACGATAGCTGCATGTATTTTTATTTGCGCAATTATTTTCCGTGGAAAATATTCGATGTGAGGATAATTAAATTTTTTAATGTAAATAATTATAAAATTCGATGCAATACGATTCGAATAACGACGTATTTTCTAATGGTTCAATTGATAATGTTTTAGAATCAAAGAATAATAATATAGGATATAGAGAGATATTATTTATTAAATTATTAATTGTTTTTATTCAGGAAATGAATATTGAACGTGAAATTAATTTTTATATTTTTAGTTAATAGATTTAGTTGGAGATAAATTTTTGGTGAGAAAATATGTGAATGTAGAAACTCTAGAAATTTTCCTCATTGCTCATTAATTAGGTAAAGGAGAAGATTTACAGATCGCACGAGTTTTGTCTATTGTAACTATCTATTTTTGTAAATAAATCAATGTACATAAATATATTTTTATATTTTTAATATTATAAATAACATTGATCGATGTAAGGAATATTTTTTATAAGTAGATATACAAAGAAAATATTTTATTAATTTTTATTGATCTTATTCTTTTCTAAAAACATTTCACTTCATTATCCCCTTATAAAATTTTGATAATTTTCTTCAAGAAAGAAGATGAAGTAAGATTGGATTGTTTAATAATTACAAATAAGGTAAGTTTTTTATCAAAGTATTATCTACATATTAAATCTGTGCTAAAATAAATAAATCTTTGTGATTGATATACTTGCATAAATTATACTATATACATGTCTTCATAAAATGAACCCATTTTGTAGAACTCTCTTTACAAAATAAAAGAAAGAAAGAGAAAGAGAAAGAGAGGAAATATAACTTTACCTTACTCTATTCTATTATTACATTATCTTTAATCTCCTATTCAGGTAGGTCGTGAATCACATGTACGGTAGAAATGGATCATATCGTTTTTCACATGACATAATTTAACAATGATTAAATACGGAAGTAACACAATACGAGAACAAGATATAATTTAATAAAAATGATATGTATTATTTATTAAATGTATATTCGCGAATATATAATAAAATAAGTTAATCTTGTTTAATATATAATATAATAAGATTATTTAAAGATAGAATATACCTTTTTATTCAAGAAAAATTTGAAATATTGTACATTGAATACTAAAAAAATATAAAATATTAAAAAAAAAATAAAAAAAAAATTTATTAAGTAGTATGATATTAATAAATTATCTAAAACTTCCAATATTTGAAGAATATTTTTTTATTTAAATTCTATAATTCTATAAGTTTTATTAAGATTTTTAATCGATAGATTATTCAAAGAAGATAATAAAGTTGATTAAATATCGGTAACGTTTCTTAAACTCATCAATTCTAGAGTTAGTATAGATAAGGAAAGCAAATAATGGAAAAAGGACAGAGATAGGATAAAAATTCGGGAATCAGCGCCATCTTCAGAGTGCCGCAAATGAAACCATATAAATAAAGAGAGCAAATAGTAAGAAAAGGATAGAGATAGGATAGAAATAGACTGGTGCTGCCATCTCTTGGATGTCAAAGGTAAGAGAAAGTAGAATAAGAATGAAAGACTAGCGCCATCTCTTGAATATTCTTAGAAACAATAGAAATGATTCTTCGAAGAGTTTCATTGATATGATGAGAGATGGCGCTGATCGTCAATTCTTATTCTATTTCTATCCTTTTCTATTATTTTCTTTCCTTGTTTATATGTGTTTCATTTGCGGCACTCTGAAGATGGCGCTGATTCCACAATTTTTACCCTATCTCTATCCTTTTCTCACTATTTGCTCTCTTTGTCTATACTTATTCTTGGCGCGTAACCACAAACGAAGTACAAAGTATCAATTGGATGCACTTTTATCATTTTTCTTTCAAAACTACACTACGTTTTAATCTTTAATATAACAAATAAAGATATATTCTCGGTTTAAAAATAATTTAAGCAATGATTTCTGTACAAAATTTTTATGAAAAATTTATATGAATATCAACTTATATGTAAAATAACATTAATAATAATTAAAATATTCTTCTTTTTTTTAATTCTGAACTATTTCTTTTTTTAATTTTAAAGAATTTAGAAATGTAACCGTATTCTTAATTTATATTACTTAGTTTTTCTAATTATAATTGAATCATATAAATATTATAAATATCTCTATAATTAATACCATTTATTGTTAATTTATATTAACTAATAACTAATGAATATTTATGTAAAATTAAGCTTTAATTTCAATTAATTATTATTAAAAGTACAATCATTTTTTATATCGAACTAATAATTTCACATGAAAAATGAAGATAATAAAAATAAAAGATGCATTGAACATTAATATATGATATATAAAAATATAAAAAATATATAATATATAAAATCTGTATGTAATCTCACTATGCAACGTATAGAAAAAAAAAATATGTATAAAAAATATGTCTATCTATGTTTACTAATTAAGTTAAGAAAAGAAATCTCAGAAAATCTTCCATTCAATTACAGGAACGTAGAAGAGAATAAAAACCACCATTGGAATCGATGATATGACAAACAAGGTATTTATTTCATCGTTCATTATTATCGCTTTATTGTCGTCTCGTTTACTCGTTATTGTCTAGACAAAAACATCAATATATCCTCATAAAATCGAAGGCGATCGAACAGACAGTGTATACGCCATCCGCATTAATGACAAATCGATGATTATCGATCGATTCATAATTATTCGCAATTATTCTTCCCGATCTTTTGTTACATTTAATATTACACTTATTACACAATGATCTATCGATAAGTACTGAAACATGTATCATGGACAAAAGAAAGCTGAATTTTTGCGTTTATTACTATCGGAGCCTGCAAGCCCTGAGCACTAAAATTTTACACCGACTACTGCTATACGAAGATCGCTTCACGGCTTCCTCCATCTTGTTTCATCCTTAGAATCGCGGCTATAGAAATATCGAATGAAAACTTGTCGAAAAATTTTCTATTATCTTGATGAACAATCTCATCAATCGAAAGATGAACTCTTAAACTCGAATACAGAAGAAATGATTCAGACTATTTGATTAACGTTGCTTATAATATAATAATTACATTTACATTTAGAATAAACAGTATATTTGCATGTTACAGTAGCAAGTATATAAATAGGGAAAATTCTTATGCAAAGTGTTTTTATTTTGAGATTATGTAGCAATATATGTATTTTAAATTGTGTTAAAATAAATAAATAAAAATTTTATTAACTTATGTCTATTTAAAATGCATAAAATTGTTTGCATTTTAGAATTATATTTTATAATATTAATAAATTGAATTTAGAAGTAAGTAATTTAAAAGTAATTTCCCTGCTTCTATTCTCGCCACTGTATGTCTATTCAAGAAAGAATACAATGTGTTAAAAATATCAGATAAATAGATATAAAATTTCAAAATTAATTTGAAAGACTTTGGAACATTAGTTAGGATTTTTCTGCATTTAAATTTAAAACGCGTGTTAGAATGCAAAATAGATATATGAATCGGATGTTTGATATTATTAGTATAGAATTGTTAGAATTATTATTCTTAATATTATTGTCGCTGATTATTGTCTAATTACATTAATTATGGAAGAAAATAATAATTTTCGAAAATGTCTCTTAACATTAATAGAAATCGCTTAAAATTATAAAAATATTTTGATTAAATTTGAAAAATTATTAATTTAAGATTGAATGAATATTGTTCGAGCAACGTACAATTTTGTCCAAAATTTATAATAATTATACTTTTATTTTGTCAATTCAAATGAAAATAAATTAAATTTATAAAATTGGATTATAAATGATATTCGTTAAATCAAAAAGAAATTAAATTAATAGTAAATTGATATAAATTATAAAATATAAATTACTAAAATAATTATCGATTTCTAATCTTAAAATTTCATAAAAAATTGAACGTCGCTCAGAATTCGCATTGACTGTTATTTTCCTTAAACATACATTTACAATATTAGGATAGTAAGCACTGAATTAAATACAATATATGTATAAAGTCGTTAAAATGTATATATATAAAATAGTACGAGTCAAATTGTACATCGATAGAAAGCGTAAATAATTCACCATATAAAATTTTCAGTTAGTGATAAAAATTTAGTAGTATAGATCCGTGAAAATTAACGATAGAATAGTCAATATATTAAATCGAACATTAATAACTGCTAAAATACGAAAATATCATACTTAATTGGAAAATCCATTACATATAACAATTTTTATAAATCTTTCTAAATGGTAAGAAAGAGTTAAGAAAGAGTTTCATAATTTAACCCTTGATTAATTAAGTCATATATAATTACAAATAATCATATATCATTTTTTCTATTAAATTTCATTTATCTTTTTTTTCAAATTTGTATTCTAATATTATTTAAATAAGAATTATTATTAATAACAATATGCAATATATTTTAATATATTTTAAATTAAAATATTCTAAAAATTAAATAATTTAAACTCTAATGAATCATTTATATAAGATCCAAAAATATCAATTGAAAATTTATCTAAAAGAAAGCAATGATAGGCCACATATTATTGTTTTATTTATTATAGATAATATCAAGAAAAAAATAACTTTATATCAGTTATAGATAAATATTAAAAATTCTTCCGTAAATCCCTAAATAAATT